ATTCTCTTGAATTACATACCTAGTACATGGAATTTGACAACTGGACAACAAAAATGGATTCTCCATGCCCTTACTATGGCCAAAAGACTAACACTGCAGCATTGGAAAGATAAATGTATGGCCCCATTCACTCAATGGACTGAAGACCTGATTGCAATTGCCATCTATGAACGGATTGCCTATAGAGGTAGACTTTGTAATGGATAAGTACAATGAAATATGGGACTCATTTATGCAAAATACAGTAGGTTAAAAAAAAACCCATGATAGTTATATAAATGTATTACACACACACAAACACATACAGATGTACTTGCATAATGTATTAGAAAATTATATACAGAATTGTAACTTTATTGTTGTAACAATATATTATATTTTTATAAAATTTGTTGTATTCTGTTCACTTATTTCTTTTTTAGTGTTATATATTTTTATTTGACAATGTATGTATTTTTGTGTTTTGTTCTTTTTTCCCCCCTGCTATTTTAAAAGCAATAAAATAAATAAATAATAATAAAAAAAGATCCTGCTGCAGCATTGTGTCGAGTTTTCTACAGTGGAGTAACTGGTAAAAAGGAAGAGTGAACTGACATAAGTAGGCAACAGTGAGGAAATAAAGAAACAAACATGAGAAGGGTGGGGGTGTAGGGAGATTTAGTGAAATTCCAAGGTGAATCACGCAGATATGGACGGATACTGAATTTGAAACGGAGCCTTTCTGCAGATTCATTAGCGATTTGGTGCTTTGTAGACCACAAATACAGAAATAGTATGAGTGAAAAAATTCACGTATTTCTCGCCAACCTCTCCATATAAGGAAAAAAAAAGTGGTGAGGGAGTGGGGCATGGAAAAGAGGGGATGTAATGAGTGTTCAAACATTTTAATTCATCATAATTCTCTATCTCCCAATCTGTGCAGCTTGCTTAGCATAATTATACAAAAGAAATGCTAAATAATCTCCTGCTCTTGCACAACCCTCTGAACCTGTTAAATTGAAACCCTGAGCCTATTCAAATGAAATTCCCAAGCTTAAACTCCAAGAAGAAGCAACACTGTAAGCAAGTTTTATCTATCAAGAAGTAAAACATTTGTTTGTTTGTTTGTTTGTTTGTTTATTCATTCATTCATTCATTCATTCATTCATTCATTCATTCATTCATTCATCTTTATGCCATTCCATATGTGGAGACTCTGTGGTTTTTAATATTAATATCAGAACATCAAAAACAAAAATCAATTAATATAATTATAAACGATCAGTCCAATGCACCACCATTCAGAGCAGCATGATTTTACTTGTTTCAAATGTCTGAAGAGCCATGTTTTTCTGGCTCCCCAAAAGCATAGTAAGGAAGAATGGACTGGATATGCAGGGGTAAGCTGTTCCAAAGGAGTGGAGCCATCACGGAGAAGGCTTGAGCTGAGGCCCCTGAAGATCGCATTCTCTCAGTGGCATGACCTCAGCAAGCCTTCTCTTCCAAGTCTTACTAGATAGGCAGATTCAACTTGTAGACCTTTAAAAATTAAAACCAGTAATTTAAATTGCACCCAGAAGCTAACTGGTAGCAGTGCAGCTCCCATATTAGTGGTGTCACGTGGGTGAACCTTGGGGCACTTATATCTACCTGGGTAGCTCCATGCTGCACCAGCTGAAGCTTCCAACAACATCCTCATGTAAATCACACTGCAATAATCCAGCCACAAGCTGACAAGGGCATGAGTGATTGTTAGTAAAGGGTCCGAGAAAGCCCACAGCTAGTGCAGAAGATGCAACTGTGCAAAGCACATGGCCACAGCTTCCACTTGCCATCCTAGCTGGAACTATGAATCCAGGAGAAGCCTCAAGTTGCAGCGCAGATCTGTCTGAGAAGCACTATCCCATCCAGAGTAAAAAACATGGATTATCTCTGGACTCATTCAGTTACCAACTCCATATTCACTCTGTCTCGGTAGGATTCAGAGTAAGGCTGCTTCTTACCATCCAGACCCTAATAGTTTCCAGACACCATGTCAGGACCTCTACTGCATCTCCTTTCTGGCCCAGTGTAGAGATCATAAATGGGTATCATCAGCACATTGATGATACCCCACCCCCTGCCAGCAAATGACCTCTCCCAGCACCTTCATGTCGATGCTAAAGAGTAATGGGGAGTAAAGGGAGAACTAAGCCTTCTAACACCCATAACTCAGTGGCTGACTGCTTGTCCCTGCTGACTGGAACTGGTAATTCAAGGAGGAGGAGAACGACTGAAGAATAGCATCCCCCTCTCTCAACCCTTGTAGTCAGACAAGGGGCATACCAAGGTAAATGATATCAAAGGCCACTGAAAGGTCCAAAAGAATCTCTATCCTAATCCTGCCAAAGGTCATCAACAGGAGCTACCAATGTGGCTTCAATCCCACACCAGGCTTGATCCCTAGTTGAAAAGGATCCATATAATCTATTTCATCCATGGCTCTCTGTAACTGTAGTCCAAACATTTTCTCAACAACTTTCCCAAAACAAGGAAGATTAGAGACCAGTCACTGGTTATCTAGAACTGGTATCAACAGTTCTCTTTTACAGAAAACCAAAACTGAAACACACTTAAAACAACCATCCATTAACCTATCTTGTCATCCCCACATAAAAGTGGCAACTGTTTCTGCAATTCAATCAATAATGTCAACGAGAAAAAGGATTACTGTAGAATTTGTATTTGAATCTTAAGCTGAATTTTGGGTCTTTTAATTAGGTTATGGTGAATTAAGCCATTTGTTGAATCATTAAAATAATGTCCAAAGCTCAGTTCTTATGGCTGGTGCACATTCTTAAAATTAGCAATTTACATGGACAGAAAATCAGGCTACAATTGTCTAGCATAGAAAGAGAAGATTAGTACACAATATGGAAGAAGAAAAAAGGTTTAGAAATGCATGCAGAAAGAAGTGTTCAAATTCTATCTAGAATAATGTAGGCATATGACAAATACAGTGGGGCAAAAAAATATTTAGTCAGCCACCAATTGTGCAAGTTCTCCCACTTAAAAAGATGAGAGGGGCCTGTAATTTTCATCATAGGTATACCTCAACTATGAGAGACAAAATGGGAAAAAAAATCCAGAAAATCACATTGTCTGATTTTTAAAGAATTTATTTGCAAATCATGGTGGAAAATAAGTATTTGGTCAATAT